CTATGACTCTGTGACCCTATGACTCTGTGACCCTATGACTCTGTGACTATGAGCCTATGACTCTGTGATGCTGTGACTCTGTGTCCCGATGACTCTGTGACCTTGTGACTATGACTTTGTGACTCTATGACGCTATGACTCCGTGACTGTGTGATTCTATGCCTCTGTGGCTATGACCCTACGACTCTGTGGCTCTATGACCCTATGACTCTGTGACTCTGTGGACCTATTACTCTATGATTCTGTGACTCTGTGACTCTATGACTCTGTGGCTGTGACCCTATGACTCTGTGACTCTATGACTCTTGTGACTCTATGACTCTTGTGACTCTATGACTCTTGTGACTCTATGACTCTTGTGACTCTATGATTCTGTGAATCTGTGACCCTATGACTCTATGACTATGAGCCTATGACTGCGACTCTATGACTAAGACAGATGATGGTATGTTGCTGATTGAAAAGAACAGCTTCTCATCTCCTCTTCTGAGCTATTTTCCCAATCATTTCCAATCCATGCACTAACCCCCCGCAACCCCACACTGCCCCACCTTGGTCTCTTGACCCACTGCCCGTAGAGAGTGATTTGTCACCATCTTGATGACAGACTTTTTTCTCCATTTTGTGCTACTGAACGCCCAAGTTTCTGTGGCGTGCATTTTCTAAACAAGGCAAGGGAGCTCATGTTGAACGGTAGGATCCTGGGAAGCACAGAGGATGAGTGGGACCTTGGTATACATGTGAAGGTAGCAGGATAGGCAGGTAACGAAGGCATATGGGTCAAAGCCATTGAATAAATGAGCAGGACGGTTGTGCTGAAGCTCTACAGGACTTTGATTAGGCCACAGCTGGAATACTGTGTGCAGTTCTGGTCTCCAGACTATAGGAAGGATGAGATTGTACTGGGAGGGAGTGCAGAGGAGATTCACCAGGATGTTGCCCAGGATGGAGCACTTCAGCGATGAGGAGAGAGGCTGGATAACCTCGGAGTGTTTTCTATAGGGCAGAGAAGGCTGAGGGGACCTGATCTGAGGTGTAGAAATTTCTGATGGGCACAGACAGGATAGATAAGGAGAAACATGACTCCTTGGAAGAAGGGTCAATAATCAACATCTCTTCGTTACATCTCTCCACAGGTGCTGAATTTCCCTAGCACTTTCCATTTTTATTTCAAATCTACAGCATCTGCAGACACTTGCTTTTCTCAGGCTGGTACTTATTTGTTGTAAAGAAAGGAAGCTTTACAGGCCATTCTAGGTGAATATAACAGTCTCTGTAAGGTCACATGCAACCGAAGCAAGGGTGATGGGTACAGGAAATCGGTGAGGCCACGTTTGGAGTACCATGTACAGTTCTGGTCGTGCTGCTTTAGGAAAGACATTACTAAATTGGAGAGGGTGCAGAAAAGATTTACCAAGGTGTTACCGGGAACGGAGGCATTGACTTATAAGGAGAGGCTGGATAGACTGGGACTTTTTTCACTGGAGCATAGGAATTTGAGTGATGACCTTATAGAGGTTTATAAAGTCATGAGGGGCATCAATAAGGTGATTAGCCAAAGGTTGATTCCCTAGGGTTGGGGAGTTCAAAACTAGAGGGGCATAAGTTTAAGGTGAGAGGGGAAAGATTTAAAAGGGACCTGAGGGGCAACTTTTCCACACAAGAGGGTGGTGTGTGTAGGGAATGAACTACCAGAGGAAGTGGTAGATTCAGGTGCAGTTACAACATTTAAAAGACATTTGGACAGGTACTTGAATAGGAAAGGTTTAGAGGAATATGGGCTAATTGCAGGCAAGTGGGACTAGTTTAGTTTGGAAACTTGTTCGGCGTGGACGAGTTGGTCCGCAGGTTCTGTTTCCGTGCTGTATGACTCTATGAGCAGTCAAGAGTGTGGAATTCACTGCCTGAAAATGTGGTGGAGGTAGCTTCAATTGAAGCATTCTAAAGGGCATTGGATGGGTTTTTATTTGGATAGTAAAGGGGTGCAGGGATTTGCAGGGATAAGAGAGGAGATTGGCACTCAATAATAGAGCCACCTAACTATTCTAATCTCATTTCCCAGCACTTGGCACATTGCCTGATATTTCTTGGCATCGCAAGTGCCCTTCTAAATATTTCTTAAATGTGATGAGAGTTTCTGCCTCTATCACCCAGTCAAGCAGTGAGTTCCAGATTCCCACCAAAGATTTTCCTCACATCTCCTGCCTCTTACCTTAAATTGATGCCCCCTGGTCATTGATCCCTCCATCAAGGGGAAACGTTTCTTCCTATCTACACTCGTCATTATTTTATACATCTCAATCATGTCCCCTCTGAAACTCCTCTGCTCTGTGGAAAACAACCCCAGTTTGTTCAATTTCCCATGGCCAATCCACCCAAACTGCACACTATGGGACAATTTAGCACGGCCA